ATTATGAGATGGTGGATAGGGATACAGGAATGCACTGAGGACGAATCTACCATATGTTTCATATCAGGTATATTTACTTTTTACCCTTGATCCGGTATTTATCATAGGGTGTGGTGGGAATGGTTATAGTTAATAATGGAAGAGTATATAATTCCATATTGGATATATAAAAATGTTCTGATGCTAGTAATTTTGTAATTCAGCAGCTTTGGTTAAAAACCAAGTGTTAGTAACATATGTTGTATCCATAATCTCGCTCATTGATTCTATAGACATTGCACTGAGGATGAGTATTGGACCAGAGGATATGCCAAGCAGGGCATATGCTAAAAATCTGTCAAGCTCCTTGAGGAGTTTGGCATCCTCGTTGTATTCTTTTCATTGAAGCCTTTGTAAATTTCTATTCGATCAAATGCCTAGCTGTAATCCCAGCATTTGCCAAGATGAGGCAAATGGGTATAATTAAGGCTTTTTACGACACTGAGCCCGAGAAAGATCTCGTGCTGTCGGAGCTTTCGTGCAAATCGGGAATTTGGTGGAGGTTTGAGACGATGGCGACGAGGAACTTGGCTCTGCCTTGTAGAAGGGGTCAAGAGGATGTTTTTCCGGATGCCGGACTCTCGTGTCCTGGAATGGTGATCGAGGCTCGAGCTGTTCTTGCCGCAATGCGCACGAGAGATCTTGCGGCCTGGAACTTGATGATGGAAACATATGCTCAAAAAGGGCATTACAGGGAAGCCATCCACGACCACGCTCGATGGCGGAGTGACGATCGATCTCGTCTCGTTCATCACCGTCCTCTCGGCTTGCAAGATCCTAATCGCCCGCGATCAGTTCGTGTCTATGGTCGCCTATGATCGCTGACTATGGCATCGTTCCAATGGGATCACTACTCTCGCGAGATCGGAAGGCTTTGCGACGCCGAGAGTTTGCTCGAGACGATGTCTTCGTGCCTGCCTGCCCTCTCCCATCGGCGGATTGGTGGAATACAAGAGATGGATCGCCGAAATCCCTCCAATGCCGCCGAGGTCTTAGATCATCCCGGCTCTTCGATCGAATGCCCCATCGCGACGCTTTGCCAGGGAGCAATCCAAGAGCCTCCTACGCCACAGTGGAATCTCGTGTCGTGCAACGAGGCCGCCTACATCCGGAGCTCCAATCTAGGCCAAGCGAAGAAGATCTTCGTTTCCATGCCGGATCACCGTGGTCTCTTGGAACTCGCTCATTACACTGTATGCTCAGTCCGGGCATCTTGCGCTCGCCAAGAACACGTTTGATGGGATGGCGTTCCGCGATCTTGTCTCGTATATGTGGCAGCCTCCCGGATCCGCGACTGCCAGGCTATGTTCGATCGCGTCTCAGAGTGACAGTGAACTCGATGATCACGGAGCTCGCGCACCAGGGAGAATGCCGGCCAAGGATCTCGTGCCATGGACGAATCTACTGCTGTGCTACGCCCAGAATGGATTCCTGGAAGACTCAGACAGGGCTCGCCAACGCAGTGGGATTTGGCCAACTTATTTGTGTTTTAAACTACAATAATATCAGGCTCACTGGAAGAAGTGGCAAGGATTTTCCCCATGCCCCCCTCGCACTCTGACAGCACTGCAAATTCTTTACAAACTTTTGCATCAACCACATAATATTACACGAAAGAAGCCATATTTCTTTCTTAATCGGAAACATTTGCCACTCTTCCACTGTGTCTTTTTTTCATCAGAACCCGTGCAGCCATTTCCCCCATTAACACCACAACAACAATAGAGTTCATGACGCACACCATCCTGTTTCCCCACCTCCAGTCTGGATATAGACGTTTACAGACATAAATTATAGGTATGCAACATGGCTCACATAAAGAAAGTATAGGATATCCACCAATCACCTCATATATGTGGTAATGATCTTGCCCTTGGCGGTCACCAAATCCATGATTTGGAAAAAGCCATCTTTTCGAGCCAGGAAAACGGGGTGTTTCTATGAACCATCTCATTATGGCTGATGTTCCTACAAGAATGTGCTATTGCAGACAAAACTTGCCAAACGATAAACCAGGAGCGATTTAAGACATATGTGTTTGCTAATGCACTCGCTGCTCCAATAAAATTACTTACCAGCATACAGCACCTGGAGTGCAAGAGAGTAAGGATTCCAATAATAGCTGTAAAAACATCTTAGAAATAATATTTATGAGACTGTCTTACCTCCAATAATATAGCCCACTGATATATATGTGGTGAGTGAAGCAAACAAGCTGCCAATATCGAGGAATTTAAGCACAGGAATCCCTTTACCGGTAAACCATGCATTTGTCGATGGAACTTACTTCCACAACGATTGAAGCAAAATCGATGTCAAGAGAACGTGGAAACACTCACTGGACAGTGTCTTTCAGTTGCTGTCATTGAATAGATTCTTGTAGAAACAATGCTCCGGCTTGGAAGCAAGGAAAATCTTCTGAGTGAAAATCAAAGACGAGGATCCCGCACACCAAAACCTGGCGATATCGTGAGCAGCTGGCACGGCATCGTCGTCCCACACAGCTGAATTCGCCATCCAGAAATTCACAGCCTCTGTGAAGAAATATTGCTCAATCACAAGAATGCCAGCTCACCGAGAGTAGAGCGGGACGTGAGGATTTGCTGAATACCGTGAGATTCCCAGTCGCGATGCAAGCATCCATGGCGCTGGAGATTTAGAGTAGGGGAATATCCTAAGTAAACTGACGGAAAACTTGTAAGTGATCAACCTCATCACTTGCTTGCAATGTTGTATATGGCAAGGCTTTTTAGTAATGCCTTGGTGAAGATGATCTTGCGGAACTCGAGTAGAATCCTTCCTTTCTTCTAGAGCAAGCCGTCATGGAAGGAAATCTTCGCGTCGCTGAAGTTGTTCTCTCCTTCGAGTGCTCATCGTTGGATTAGCCCTCTATGATTTCTGGTGTGACAACTGACCGTATTCTTCTCGTCCCAGTCGAACTTCATCCTGTGTTCTTCCCAAAGCTTCCACAGGCATTTTCTAGTTTCTGTTCTTCATTTTCTTGTTGGTGGTGCGATGCAGATGGGTCGATCTCCTTGCTGCGAGAAAATCGGTCTCAACAGGGGTCCATGGACTCGTGAAGAAGACACGCTCCTCACGCAGTATGTCAACGAGCACGGCGAAGGGTCTTGGAGAACGCTTCCAATGGCCGCAGGTTTGATCCGCCCAAATCTCATTCCACTCCTTGTCTCTACATTCTCTGAGATTTTTTCTCGTGGTTGCTAGATTTCCTCTAGACAAGCCATGTTTGCGTCGTAGCTAGTTAGAACGTCCCTATTCTTTTATATACTCCGCTCAAGCTTGATGTTTGCAGTGTCTTTGTCGCAACTAGCAGCATTGTCAAACAAAGCACTCGTTTTTTATTGATTCGCTCGTGACCAGTCGCTTGAAGTGGTCAGAAGGCTCGTGCTATCATAGATTCGCTCGTGATGAGTAGCTTGAAGTGCTCGGAAGGCTCGTGCTATCATAGAACGAAAGTAGTAGCTTACTTGCTTATGCCAGCAACATGAGAAAGACATTCAAGCGGCTTTGAAGTCGTCAATACCACGGTCACCAGGCTTAGCTGGACCCATGCAAGAGCCGCCTCCTCAAATGCCCAGAACTCCTTGAACACTAAACATGGATTCGAGGAACAGCGGAAAGTTTCAAAGGGCACTGTCTGAACTTGGAGTCTCCATTCAAGTTCCTTCTTCCGGCTCTGCTCTCGCTTCTCCACCTTCAAGCACTAGAACCCCCAATACCAGTGAGTTGTGGTTGGTTTTTTCCCCACATCCGCCCAAGCCTTCAGCTCCAGAGCTGCAGCAGCTTTCCACTTTTTTAAAGTCTTCAGCTCCAGTGAAAAGGTATAATTCCCGATCACCAGAGCAGCTCAATCTGATAGCTTTCAGGCTCGCAGTTCTTGAAAAGTTCGCCACTGGCCTCGGGAAACTGGCCTTCGTCTGGGCAACTGTTGTTCTCCTCGGTGGATTCGTGACCAACATTCAGGCCAAAGACTTTTGGACGATCTCGGCCTTGCTGCTGACTGAAGGAACGCGGGTTTTCAGTCGAAGTAGCGAGTTGGAATGGCAGCAGGCAAATTACAGCTTGGGAATTCTCGGCTTCAGATCGTTCGTGTTCGACAAGAGCGCCAGATTATGGGAGAAGTTCTCTGGAGTCTTGGACCATGACCACTCTGAACAGAACGTTAGCAGAGATCGACTTTCCAAAACACCAGTAAAGAAAGATTTACACCAAGGATTCGCTGCCAGAAGAACTTCGTCCGCCACCAGGATCATTAGCCTTTTCATGTACTTCCTCCAGCTTGCTTCTGCAACAGTCACCATATGTTTCTCAGTATATCGACTTGCCGACAATGCCCAAGGAAACAACACTGAGCACGGCTTCAATGCCCAAGGAAACAACACTGAGCCCCAAGGAAATAACACTGAGCAAGCACTTACGGTGTTTTACGCGATGATGCTGGCAGAAACGTCGCTATTCCTCCTGGAGAGAGCATATTGGGAATTCAAGCTTCGTTACCAGAGGTTGCTGGAAGTAGTCATTCAAACAAGTGAGCCTGATCAAGTCGACATTGAAACCATGAAGCAGTACTGGTACACATTGTACTCACGATCGCTGAACGGAAGCGTGTTTGATGGCCTGGGAATGGACCTTATCGATTTCACCGTCGAGAAGCTGCAGTCAAGCATAAGGGAAGAGCAGCTCGGTAGCGTCAAAATACTGTCAGCTCTTGTCTCAAAAGGAGATTCAATGGAAGAAACGCAACGGAGGATTGGTACCACGCCCGGAGTTGTGGAGAGACTCTTAGAGATGATCACCTGGAAGGATCTTAGTGAGGCCGAAATCAGGAAAGCTGCAACCATAGTAATCAAGCACCTGGTTCGTCACAGCCATAACTGCTTCAGGATTTCCGCTATCCCTGGATCCCTGGAGGCCATCACTGCTCTTTTAGCCGCAACAGAGGAGGAAGTGCTAGAAGTCCTCAACAGGCTAGCCGTGGATTACAGGACATGCGTGCGAATCGGTCACACCAGCGGACTTATCTCCATCCTGGTTGAATTTATCCAAGACGAAGAAACATCGAAAGAAGTATTCCGTCAATCACTCGAGCTTTTGAAGACATTGGCTAACGTGCGAGGAGATTCTGGACGGTCACTGCGAAAGAAGATAGTGTCGGTAGTGCCAGCAGTAAGAAGTCTTCAAAGGATATGCAATCTCGAAGATTTGGAGCTACAAGACCTGGCAGTCGACGTGATCAAGCTGCTAGCAACCGAGGACGAGCTTAGAGATTGCATTGGTGCGACTGGAGGAGTTATCCAAAGCTTGATGGCCATATTTGCGAGAGAAACCGCACCGAACAGCGACCAGTTGAGCATCGCCATGAGAGCCGGGGAAGCCATAATTGTGCTCGTTTTCAAGTGTCCCAACAATTGCTCGAGGCTCCTCATGCACAAAAGCTGCAGACAAGGTGGCGTTAGCAAGACCCTCAAGAGCTTGATCAACATGCTCACCAAGCCAGTTGGAGTCCATGCAGCCACAATTTTGCGAAGCTTGTGCGGTGACCTTAACGACGAAGAAAAGTTGGAGCTTGGAGCAGCCATATCTCCCATCATCCAGATGGTGCTGGAATCCACGGACAAGGAACAGCAGGCAGCCATCGGTTTGGCAGCAGCCATAATCCCCTGGCTCGACACACGTAACTTTGAACAAGGCGTGCTATCGCAACAATCACGGCTTTGCGAAAAATTCACAGAGCTTCTATCCCACACAGCACCTTCTAGGAGCTTGAATTGTATCCGGCGATATACCGTAGAGCTTCTGAACAGCTTGATGGCAAAGGACGCCAGGTTCTTGCGACGTTTTAGAGAAGACGGTGAAATGGAGGCGTTCCTGGAAGCAATGTCAGCGACTGCCTCAGACGAAGAAAACTTCTTAACGTTTTCGGGTTTTGTGGGACTTACCAAGCATTCCAGCAGCCTCGAGGAGCTCGTCAACAGCGCCCTATTGAACTTACACAGGCTGTAGCTTCACCTTTTCCAAAAAAAAGAGCCTCGAATGTGTCATGCTATCAAGAATAAAATACACGTAAACTCTGAAAAAGAAAGAAAAAAATCAATCAACATTCAAAGAAGAAGAAGCTTACTTCATAGGAGATCCGAACTCGCAGCAACTTCGCTTACGCAATTGTAATTCACTAACAGAACTCTAAATAGGAAAGAAAACATTAATCAACACGAAAAATAAAGCTTCCTTTACTTCATAGAAGATCTCCTTTCTGAAATTGTGGTCACCACTCCACGCTGTTTTGAAACTTTCCAAGCATAGAGTTCGTACTTTTCCGCTGTCACGAAAGTTATATTATTAGAATCAGAACCACGAAGAGGTGAAATACAAGAAGTTTCAGGAGCAGCAAAACCTTTCAAAGGATATCATCCACCGCTCGAGTTTGTGACCGACATGAAGAAAGACTTCTGGAACATTTCCATCTTGCTGTTGACTGAGGGAACCCGACTTCTTGGCGGAAGTAGCGAGCTGGACTGGCAGGAGGCAAATTACATGAATACTCTCAACATCCGCTCGCTCGTGTTCGACAGAAAGCAGGCGGCTTTCGACCATAATCAGCACCCTGCACAGAATTCTAACAGTGTTACAGTTCAATTAAGCAGGATTTATACCAGGGAGTTGACGCCATGGTCTGTGGGAGTCAGGATCATCAGCCTCATTTTGTACATCCTTCAACTACTAGTCAGTGTCCCGAGGCACAAAAGGAGCTCCTCGACAACTTGATGGCAAGGGACATGAAATTCTTAGCTCGCAAAGAACTTGTTTCATTTCCACCATTTGCTTTTCTATACACGCAAAAAAGTGTTTAAGCTCGCCATCACCTAGCACAAAAATCACGCTCGAATATCACATGAAATGCCAAGGCTCTGTACCTCAATCTTCGATCAGTACGTCGTCCTGAAACACGTGGGTAGTGTGATCCACAACCTGCAACAAAAAAAAGGAGAAAACATAAGTCATGGTAACTACAAGCTCGATCGAATGATCTTACGTTGGTGTCACTGAGCTCCAAGTTGTAGAAGACCATCGAATCTCGATCACCAAAGAGAGGACCAGCGTGCCAAGTTCCTTCGTTTAGCTTGATGAAGCGAGGACCATCTATCTTGAAAACCTGGACGCTTGCATGAGAGGGAGGTAAATAGTAGTGGCCACCAGCGTTGGATCGAACAGCGCCCTCGTGTTGCGATGAAGGATCCACAATGCTGGGAGGAGAGACCGCCATGTACCAAGGATGAGCTCCCACTGATCCCAGACACTGCGTCACCCTGGCGTGATGCGTTATCCTTTTGAATCGCAGCCCCGTTTTCTTGAGCTCCATGAGGTAGAGTCTGCGCAAAGGAACCATCACTCACTCAATCACTACCGAGCCGCTGGAAATTTCGGCCACATTTTGCCTGCACTACCTGGGAATCCCATTCGCGAGATTGAGCTGCGCCTCTCCCGATCCATACTCGCATCCGTCGCCGATCTTTCCCAGGAGCTGGCCAAAAGGCCTGAAGTTCTCCTCCGTGACCGGCACTGCTCGCAGCTTGAGCCCCATCGAAGAACCCTAGCCCTGGCAATATCGCCCAGCGCAGGAATCGAACTCAGCATAGTCAACAAGGACAAACCATTCAACGGTCAATGGGTCAACGATGGTCAATTATGGTCAACAGTGTCCAAACGACATCTATCCGCTACGGGCACTGAAACTTAAAAGCGTAGAAAGGATATAAGCTATCGTAGCAGCGAATGATGGCCAGAGAAACTTAAGGGACAGCAACGTTCTTAGAGTTTTTCTCATTTTCTTCGCTTTGTTCTTGGTTGTGGGTTATTTAATCTTTGAACTGGCAATGCAGATGCCACGGTACGAGTTTAAGATGCCGTCACGAGGCATTTACTATCACTGTGAAGTACGTGAAGGAACTTACGGCAATATCTCAACATCCTCGTAAGCTCTGCTATAGCGACAGTCTCTTTAGAACTGTGGCACCCTCTTTCGCGAATCACATTTGGGGATGGCAGTGGCAGCAGTGTTCAGTGGCAGTCTGCCCTGTCCAAGCTTTGCTTTCGTTACGCCACTTCGTAGTACTACTCCTCGAGCCAGCGCAAGGTTCTTAAGTATAAGATAGATACATCACTACGTGAGAAGGAATACTCCAGTTTTTTCTTTTCCACCACCTAAACCTAGTAAGTGGCAAACTATAAGACCTGGTTGAAAGGGAGAGTTCTGCGCAGTACACACTAAAAGATGGCCATGCCGCGTGTTTGAAGCCGACTTTTCTCTAGGCCTGGAAGAAGAAGCTTTAAGTTTATGGAGAATTTATAGAGGGGGAGCAAGAGTACGAGATACAACAGGTTTCTATATACTATTATTCCCTTCCACGGCTGTGCGATAGTTTGTTGTGCAACAGCAGAAAGGGCTTTAACGAGACGAAGAAAACAGTCTTGTGTGTGTCAGATCATTGTTGTCAAACAACATTGATCGATCTGGAATCGCAGCACTAGTGCCAGATCGCTCCATTTTCTCGTCTGACCGTTTGTCGTGTGAAAGTTTTGGCTCTTTGAAGTTGCTCTCTCCACTCATCTTCACGGACAGCAGTGATTAGCTCCTTTCTTCGTCTTCTTCATTGATTCTTCTTCACTTTCTTCTCTACTTTTTCTTTCTTCCTCCTGTGTAGTTCGTGCTGCTTCTGTGGAGAGCACCAGCCCAAGCTATACCACAAAGTCCATCCTACTGTAGCGATAGTCATCAACAGTATAGTGGTTATGTTCTTGAGAGATCCTACCGCGATTTAACGAGCGAGAAAGGGAGTGATGTTTGCATGGCGGGACAAGCAGGGCACAGGTTTTTTAGATCTCTATACGAGTCTCTAGCTTCCTTTCGTTGAGGGGTCAAAAGATTCAAGCTTTGTTCTTTTCTCATGAATATTTTTTCTTGGTCCTGGTCCCTTGTGTGTCTGAAGCATCTATCTCATAGCTAGGAACATTTGCAAGAGACCAGCAGAGCGGAAAACATTGATTTAAAACAAACATCTCGTATATAACACCCAGCGTATTCTTCTCGTCCCAGTCGAACTTCATCCTGTGTTCTTCCCAAAGCTTCCACAGGCATTTTCTAGTTTCTGTTCTTCTTTTTCTTGTTGGTGGTGCCATGCAGATGGGTCGATCTCCTTGCTGCGAGAAAATCGGTCTCAACAGGGGTCCATGGACTCGTGAAGAAGACACGCTCCTCACGCAGTATGTCAACGAGCACGGCGAAGGGTCTTGGAGAACGCTTCCTAAGGCCGCAGGTTTGATCCGCCCAAATCTCATTCCACTCCTTGTCTCTACATTCTCTGAGATTTTTCCTCGTGGTTGCTAGATTCCCTCTAGACAAGCCATGTTTGCGTTGTAGCTAGTTAGAACGTCCCTATTCCCTTATATACTCCGTTCAAGCTTGATGTTTGCAGTATCTTTGTCGTAACTTGCAGCATTGTCAAACAAAGCACTCGTTTTTTGATTGATTCGTTCGTGAAGTCGCTTGAAGTGGTCAGAAGGCTCGTGCTATCATAGAAACTCCAAAACTTTGATTTTCAAGTTGCATCGTTTTAAACGATTAGTGTGATCCTTGCAGGACTCCGTCGTTGTGGGAAGAGCTGTAGGCTTCGCTGGATAAACTACCTGCGTCCCAATCTCAAGCACGGAAACATCACCGAAGAAGAAGACGAGCTTATCGTCAAACTCCATTCTTTACTGGGCAACAGGTATGGTAATATATCTCCCGTATCTTACATCTTTTCTTATATATTTTTCTCACATAAGTATGTTTATGGTCCCCGTGATCCCTCTCACTCATCTCTCACTCATAAATCATAGGTGGTCTAAAATAGCTGCTAGGCTCCCCGGACGAACAGACAACGAGATCAAAAACCACTGGAACACACATCTCAAGAAGAAGCTACAGGGCATGGGAATCGACCCAAACTCGCATCAGCCGTTGGATCAGCCCGGCGCGTCCGCCAACTTTCCACCCACGGAGAGTAATGAGTCGTCGTCGCCATGCAGCTGCCACCAGGACGAAAGGGTGGCGAAGCTGGCCATGGACGACGGCGACAAAGCTCAAGTTGTAACGCAAGAATGTTCGTCAACGCTGCAAGGTGGTGTCTTGCTTCAACCAGTCAGCACGCGAGTCAACCACTTGATCCAGTCCGAGCACAGCTACTCGGAGATATCCGATACCGCTGACAGCAGCATCGCCCTCAAGGATTATTTCTTTCCGCCCGCTTTCTACTGCGATGCCACGGGCGATTCGAGCTTCATCATGGACTCGTTCCACTCGGATATGTCGTGGGACGTGGAGATTGTGAGGCCCATCGACAGCAGCGGCGTGGAAGGATCCAGCATCGTCCCCGGCAACACCGATCACCTCTGGTTCTAAACGAGTTGAAATCCTGTTGACCTCATAAAAGTTTTAAGAGAAAGCACGCGTACTTAATGCCTTCTACCCGGCAACGTCAAGGTTGAAAGTATCAAAAACACGGTTTTGCTCCGAGTGGTCCGAGAGGAAGACAAACAGCCGTAAAGGTGGCTAGCCCCACACTGAGGGTCAGCTCAGAATTTTCATACCATATCGTTTTCGCCCAGTCTTACTGATCTTCTCTTTTCTGTGGACGTATTAAACTAACGTGGCGGATCGGTCGAAAAAGAGCTATTGTTGTGATTCATGAAAAGCTAGCGGAGAGAATCTAATGCGAATGCGAATGGATTCCCAGAGTGGATCGTCGATCAGGCATGACTCGACAAAGGAGGGAATCATCTTCTCAAAAAACTTTTTTCCAGCTTTTGGGCCTGCTTCTCTAGTGGTTGCAATGGGGGCGGCTTACGTGCCACACCGCCTTTGCGCACAAAAGGCTTTGCTAAGTGTCGGTGCGGAGGAATGAGAATTATAGCATTTTGGGTTATTAAAATATAGTGTGCGGCATGGGCTTGGCATTGTGGCTGCAATTTTAATCATCACAAAGTATTGATCACCAAAGCATGATGCATGCAAGGTAATCATGGACGAAACAGCCCTCGATCTCCTCTAAAGCCAGCAATGCGAACTTGCCAAGAAATTCAATGTTTATATGAAAACGCTGCAATACACATACGGAACGAAAGAATCAAACAGGTACAAGCATTTTCTTCAATTGATTTAGATTTCTAAGAATCATATACTTTGCAAACTGGCCCAAGCAACATGTATCGATGGCAACGACATATTATCCGTTTCGTTTAGCGTTGAGTAACCTGGGAATCTTGCCAAGGTACACACCGACAGTGTAAGCCTCCAGCCCAACACGATGTGTATGACGCCAACTTACGGGTATTTTGATAATAATTCTGGGGTTGACAACTACGAGGTGTCGGCCGAGTTGAATGACGTTGAGTTGCCTCCCACAAGACAGGAGAGCGAGATGGAGAACTTGTTTCTATTATAAAGCAATAACGTGATAACCAACGAAGCAAGCAACATACTGGGAATCTAGATCATATCAAATTCATATTGAAGGTTGTATTTGGCATTCTATCTACATTGTCACTACGCTACTTGACTTGTTAATCTGGCACACCCAAGGAATGTTTGCGGGACTGATTTCTTCATGCGAACCACTGCAGCTTTTTGCACAGGGGTCTGCATGTTCAACATAAGGCGCCTTGAAGAGAATGCATTGGAATGAGAGAATGAGTGTTGAACGTAAACTTGTCCCAGATGTGAACCGGGATGAGACAACGCGATAAAAGACATGCAAGAACATAAAATAAGGCCCCTTGGGGAAGGTAGTGGTGTAAGTTTCAAGGGTCCTTGTGGTGACTGCATAACATTCGTGGGCGGATAGTCCAATCTTTCTAAGTGCATGTTAACATCACCAATCGCCCGGTCACCGAGCTGGGCTGCAAAGAGAAAAGATCTTCTTGCTTATGTGAAATTTCTTGGAGCTATTTTGTCCACGGGTCCGTGTTAGATAGCATGTCTATTCACGTAGAGTAGGCGCTCAAGGGCCTATTGCCAGGACCTAGTCGCTCTAAAACCGGGAACTGGAGGCGAAGGAGGAGAAGTGGAATCTTTTGAAGGTTTGAAAAACACTAAAGTTTGGAATGGACAAGCTCACTAGCGAGCGGCTCGAGCAACAAGGGAAAACAACAAGCGAGCTAGCAAATTACTCGAGCCGCATGCTTCGATTACGTTCAGACAGGAACGCATGCCTCCCTGGATCATTGAATTATTCCAGTTCCCGGCCAGCGCAATGGGAGATCAAATTGTCGTACTCTCGAGCGATCTAGGAGAGAAACTTTCAAACTTTGGGGAAGAATGGAACTCCTCCAAGTACCGTACAAGAGAGCATCAAAAAGATCCAGCAATGCACGCAATGCCCCACAATGCTGTCGCAAGTTGAGTACTGTTTGTCAAATATGCCCAAACATGGCATTTTGCTGATCACAGCATGACCAAGCACATCGCAATCAATCACTCAGGTTGATCCAAGGGCCAGTAGCACAGTGACAACCCGGGGTCCCAATCTCGATCAAGCCCAATCTCGCGATTCACCGATGTGATCGAGAGGTTCACACACTTTCCCAGCAAAGCCAATCATGGAAACTATATTGCCACCACCTCCGTGGCGAAGTGTGCGTGAGCAAGAGTCCTCTTGCAATACATCCCGGGTGATGTAAACCGCATCATCACACAAGGAGCCAGCAAAGTTTTTATTCCACATCCATCAACAAACCCACTTCGATTTTAGTTTAGACAACTCAGAGCTTTTGTACAAGAAAACAGCACTAGAGCTTCCTCCTTGGAATGCCCAGCTAAAAGATCTTGAATGAAACATCATGTAATTGTCGCCGACGAAACAAGAAAACACAAGAAACGACCACTACCTTGAGAACTTGAGATCAAAGATCTTGCCAGAGCTCCCGACCCATCGAATCTGTGTCTCTCATTGAATTCTCTGCTTTTAAAGTGTTCCATCTATTGTGTGTAGCTTGCAACTTGCAAATGCACAAGAACATGACCAAAAGATCTTCAGTCTTGTTTTGTTACCTCCAGCCAACTTGTTGCTGTTGTTTTTGTGAAACGTTGCTTTGTTGCTTTGGGAGATTTTGGGTTTTCCCTCCTCCCTTTAGAGCTGTGTTGTATCTATCTACGTAGACGTATGTAATGACCCACAGGCAGAGACGAGCGTGAAATGAAAAACCGTTAGCAGCAGTATTGGTTGATCGCCCGGAGATTGATCCTCGGTGACTCCACAAAATCGTACAATGTACAGGGAGGAATTAAAGAGATCTTGGAGACGAAGAAGGAGAAGAAGATCAAGGACGAAAAGATAGAGGGAGATGGTTGCGTGAGCGAGCGAGAGGGGTATATATGTATATACACGACTAGCAAAAGAGGAGCTCGTCGTGGAGGAAGTTCACCTGAGTGGCAGCAAGCGAGGAGGACGAGGAAGAAGAATTAGAGGGGGATGTGGAGGCGATGATCATGGGGAGGATCCCATCCGCGACTGGAAGGGGAGAGGAGGAAGGTGGCACCACTTGCGTGGTGGAATTGGATGCGAATTCTGTGAGACCATCCCACAAATCGGATTGGCACACGGAAGAACAGTCGGGGAGCTCGATCTTTCCCAGCGAGTCCCAAAACTGATCACCGCTACAATCCTCCTTGAACAAATCCCCGCCGGCGACGATCACGTCATCCTTTCGCAGCAGGAAATCGTCGATGAACTCGAGCATCTGGACTTGACTGCGCAGCTGGAATTGCTGCTCGTGATCGTTCCAGTCCACCGTGTGTTGACTGGTGCTCACAAGCGGAGGAGCTTGGCCAAGATCCTGGGAGCTGCTGGCGGTGTTGGATTTGGAGATTGTTGTCGGCGAATCGCAGTTGGAGGCGGAGGCGGAGTGGGAATTGGAGGGCGAGGGCGACGGAGAATAAAGATTGAAGACCGAGGAAGGCGATGGGTAGTTAAACTTGGTGGTGTTTTGGAGATCTTGCTCTCGCTCTTCTTCCTGCCCCACTGATAGCGATGATGATTCTGTGGCTCCGTCACCAATTTTGCCTGCGCCCAAAACAGGGGAGGCACTCTTCTCCTTGGCAAGGTCCCCAAGAACAGGCATTTTGCGTTTCCTGTGTAATCGAGCACACACTTTGGGCGGTTGACACTCTGTGCGCCGGTCGCGATCGTCGCAGGACTCCTCGCATGAGCCAGTGCTGTAGGAGCTCGTGTCCAAATCCATGGTCGTCTCCCACGCCTCCTGCGGATCATCGCCCCTGCTATGGCACGAGGGGGAATTGGAGTTGCCATCCCCCTTCTTGGTCGGGGAATTGGGCGAGGATTTGGCGACGAGGGGCTTGTGGGTCTTTGGATCCAATCCCCGGCTGGCCAGCTTCTTGCTCAGGTGCGTGTTCCAGTAGTTTTTGATCTCGTTGTCTGTCCGCCCGGGCATCCGAGCTGCGATGAGCGACCACCTGCATTCATCAAAACCGGGGAATTGGGGATCAAAACACGATTTTGCAAAGAGCCCAGATGCGAGCGCGGCGCGATCACGGTGCCCAAGCGCACCGATTTCGCTGCCGCCACCGCATCGGATTGAATCGGGACAGAATTGGTGGGTGGTGTATCACCTGTTGCCCAGCAGAGCGTGTAACATTATGATGAGATCTTCTTCGTCCTCCGAAATGTTGCCCCTTTTCACGTTTGGTCGGAGGTAGTTCACCCATCGCAGCCGGCAGCTCTTTCCACAGCGCAGGAGTCCTGAAGAGAGGAAGATCGAAGATCAGAGATCACACTTTTTGGAACTTTGGAAGAATTCAAATCTCGACCGACCTGCGGCTTTTGGAAGTGCCCGCCAGTTGCCTTCGCCGTGCTGCTCAATGTGCTTGGTGAGTAGCATGTCTTCTTCCGGCGTCCAGGGACCTCGATTGAGTCCAACTTTGGAGCAGCAAGGAGCTCTCCCCATGACGACGATCGCTTGCAACTCCTCCAAATCCTCCTTGTGGTTTTTATATCTGGGGCGCCACGGGTCAAAAAGCAGCAGCTAAAAGCAAGTAGTCTCCTTTTATAAAACTCTGTTTGGATCTTCGCCCCCAAGCGCTACACAACCACTGCCCGATGATTGCCTCCGTCGCCTTGCTCCACAACAGATGCCCAGCTGCGGCATTTCCTTGATTCCTTGAAAAATGGAATGGAGCGCTCTCTTTTTTCTCTTCTCTTCTCTCTCTCTCTCTCTCTCCCTCTTTTCCACCTTTGAAGTCACAAACACTCGTGGGTCATTGAGTCACCTAACAAGGGAAGCAAAGACACGCTACGTTTCGATTGCTCTAAAACCTTACTCTGGTGTGCTTGTGTCATATATAAGTTTATATATTATATAGAGCACTTTGGCTTAACCAGAGAATTTGGATTGCGCTTCAAGACAAGTGTGAAGTGATTTCTGCCCAAAACAATCTTGAGCCCCAAACTGGATAGTGATGTATATATACACAAAAACTCGACCACAAGGAAAGGCAGGACTTGCAAAGAGAGAGAGAGCACACGAGAGGGCAAAGTGACAACGATGGATGGTAGGCCGTCAAGGCGACTACGACCCCAAAACAAGCAAGATGGGGACTCCATCCACCTCCGAGAAAAAGATGCCAGCGAGAGATTCCAAGTGATTCCCACTGCCCAATACGTGTTGAACTTCCCCTCTTTATCTCCCGCATATTCCCGGGGAATATGCATATTCCAGCCGTACTCCGTCACCCCGTATAATCCCAGTGCCAGAGAGATTGTGAAATGCCACGCTCTCCTACGTAGCGAGTCTTACTATCTCTCAGGTGTGGGCGATAAGATCTCCTCCTCGATTCGAGCAACATGCCACGACCTCCGCCCCTCAAGCTTTGCTTTCCGAAGGACAGGCCATCGATCCATTCGTGACCAACCAACCTGAGCTTCCTTTTTTTTTTTTTGCTTTGCCCTCTTTCCTTTGTTTCGCCAACTTTAATTTCTTTCGGGAGTGTCTCACGTCATGGGACCACTTTGGAGAGGTTGTGTGTGAGTGTGTATGTGTGTCCACTGTGACTCGTAACTCACAACATAGCTAAATCGTGGCATGACTGAGAGCCGGAGCCAACCGGAGATGGGCCTGGAGAGCATCAACAGCGTTTGGCAGCTGCAATTCAATTCGATCGACACAGGAAAAATTGGTTTCTAGCCCCGCATGTCGATGGGTCGTGTATAAGGGGCACACATGGCGTTCTTTTGAAGCACGGGTTCTTCGCGATATCAAAGTTGTGGGACACATTGGATATGTTGGTTGAGGAAAGAAATGAAAAGGTCACGCTTTTGATTATTCCTCCTAGGGTTCAGACTTCCAATGCGAACCAGGCCTTCGCGGAGCGTTCGCCTCGTTTTTAACTTGCGGTCAAACATTTTCTACTGCCAGTCAATTTGCTACGTCTCACGGGTTGACTTCTGCGTTTCCATCCACCATGGAAGACTGGCCTTGACGAATTATCCGAGTTGGTGGTTGATTCAATCCAGGAAATCGCTCAGACTATGGGGGCTATAGTGGTACGCCAAAATTTTCCAAAAGAGTTGCGGATGCAAGACGTGAAATTCCACTCAATTTCTCGCATCTTGATTACAGTGTTGACTAGAAAAATCATTGACATTTGGCATCCAGTAATGTGCTGACAGGCAGCTTGTCCGCGTACCAGTGAGCCACCAAGAAATCCACATCCCCCTCAAAAACAAACGTTGACGTGGCGCCATGCTGACGTGCGGCGCACCCGGGTCGTGCGGGCGCCGCCAGTGGGCTCCCCATTGACCAGCTCTCGGGGTCACGGTGGAAGGGCGCCCGCAATGCGATTTAGCACGAATATCTCGCGGAATCTCCCTCCAATCACGCATTCAATCCAGCTTGTCCCACTGGATCCGACCAGATTCGCGTGGAGCATGAGAGAGCGCGTACGGAGATCTGGAGCTCCAACACATATCTTGTATGGAATCTCTCCAATCGCTGGAGCGTTACTCTCTCCTCCGGGAGATGTGAAACGATGACCTAACCTGTTGGTCCTCGCGGCATTGCTTTGTCTTGGTCGTCATCACCTTTGCAAAAAAATGTGTTGCCGGACGAGAGCGGCGTTTTGACAAGTGCGTCAACTTCAGCCGGATTTCCCGGGAGGTTCTATATGTAATTTCTTCTTCTTGGCAAGATGGGAAGCCGCTATCCTCCATGTCCAACAAAAGTCTGCCCATTCTCTCGAGCTGGCTTGTTCATTCACACTTCTTCTTTGTCTGCAATGCCTATAGGCTATTTCACTTCCCTGTTGGGAGATCCTGAGGGCCGAAGCATAACCCAGATAAATCATAAACATTGCAAGTTGTGTTCAAAAACATTAATGCACTCGTGTTCATAACAAATTTGAGTCCATCCTCAGGAAACAATTTTGAACTAAGGAAGAGTTTGCAATGGAACAGATTTACATTGTCCTGACTCAATAAACTAATGCACCATCCTGGAGATCTCCGTACACCCAAATGGAATCAATCCCAGTGACCTCACTCCCGAGCTTTTATAATATTCTACATTGGTTGAGAGTGGATCCATGAAGCAAGTGATCTCCAAACATTCCCCTGTGCTGCGAACACGAGAAACAGACGTGAGGAGTCAACTTGAGGAGAGGAGGAACCAAAAAAAGAGAAAACCATTAAATAAAAGTTGGAAAATCAGGCCCAGTGGGATATCCATCTAACTTCTTACCCAAGTTCATACGTAATGCTAACGCCATGCTCATGTTTGCAAAGGCCCAGCCTTGAAGCATCATCAGCCGTTGGGATTGAGCAATCAGCTGTCACACAAAACACTAAAAAAAAATTTCAAGTCGAATCAATTTTATGGAGATCTAATAAATTTTATGGTCAGCCCTTTCTCTCTCTCTCTCTCTCGCTCTCTCTCTATCCGGACCCGTTTTCTTGTGAAAGCAAGGTTTGTTGGGTTTGGTGGTTACATCGCCAGTACTCGAGTCAATTCCCAAAATGTAGCTTAAACAATGCGTGCACAAGTTTGGAGCCCAATTTGATCTCTTTCAAAGGAGAGGCATTTGCGTGACAACCAAGTTACCCGTCCAAGTCGTGTCACTCCAAAACATGACCGATTCCTGACCACGGGGCCGTGACGCTGATGCGTGCCCGATCAAAGCGAAGCCGCAAGCTTTCCCCAACTTCCCTTGTTCTTTCGTTTTTTTTGTTTTCTTTTTTTAGAGTTTTGTTTGTTCGTGGGTGAAGTTGCAAAATCTGTGGCAACAGATTGAGCCCGACCCAAACGTTCGTGTGGAAAATCTCCCGCAACAAACGAAAGCAATTGAGAGAAACAGGAATATCATATATGTATATACACTGATACGATCCTTACACTCGCATCTAAAAACGTCGGTATACACGCAAGTCTTGTTTCATCTTGATCGGGTCCGGGGAGATTGCGGATTGGACAAAGCTGGCTGGCTGTGGTTACAAGAACACACCCGCCAACTTGTGTTTAACGCGGGGTGGCGGTGCTTGCTCCTTGGGGAAACTTTGCCTGGCCCATCTCCAAACACTATGGGACCGATCTGGGCAATTTTAATCCCTTGATCCAGCTGCAAGATGGGACCATATTGATATACTGCTTTGCCGGTGGTTACTTATATGGCGCTAAATCCCCGCATTAATCTGTGGAAACTATGTTTCTCCCTTAACAAACCTCATCACGAGTGCATGACCAGGTGATGGCATCGATTAAAGAACCATGCAAACGTTAAGGTCAGAGCCGTGAGGTATCTGATTGTCTATTCAGGCTTGCCTGCGGGTGGTAGTACCATACATGAGATTAGCATTTGATTCTCCATACGTGACACATCAAGCTCTGAGGAGCTGAATCGATCAGGAACGAGGCCACAGAAGCGTTTCCCAAATGCAACGTACCACACTTATAGACAGAGGTGTTGGTCTAAGTCTTTGTATTTTATCATGCTTCTCTCAATGAGATTCTCCTCTAGCTGTACCTTGGTTCGTCTGTATAACAGGAAAGAGGAATTCCTAAGCAGCTTTCTGGCCCAATGATTCCCTTGCAAGTGCGACGCCACATTTTCTATAAAAGGATGCTCGGGATAATACTTTTCGTATTATAATTGGGCTATGAGTTTGTGAGTGTTTGTGTGCTCTTTATTGTAGAGTCAAAAAAATAAAAAATAAAAACACTAGATGTTGGAGTTTTGGAGTTTGGGTATCTTGGAAAGTTTGTGCAAAAGAGATGAACAGAATTGGGAGTGCTTTTGCTTGATTGCCATAAAATCTAGACAATCTGGAAAAGAATGAAGACTCAAAGTTCACAAGGCAGAAAGATGAGTTAATTCTGAGTTACATGTCGCAAGTTGGCTATAGTCCAAGGCAAACCCAACGACGTATGCCCTGACGTAATGTACCATTTCTGCGTAAGCACGATTGACCACAAATCGAGATGGTGGTATTTTTTTATCTTGTTGCTATCAAAGAGATTCGAGGGTCACAGTTTTTACCAGTCGCAATACAAAGATATACTTTTCTTTATTGTGTTATGCGAAAATAGTTCTTTCCCTTTTGTCCAATTATTCCAAAGAACAAATCTCAACAAAGCTAGATTGTGCACAGCGATGAGCCAAGTCTACAAAGCAATAGACGAACAAAAGAGACTCGCAGCGAAGACCTTGAATCTAAAGTTTCGTCACTCATGCATTTATACAAGTCGAGTAATCGCAGTATATAAAAGAATGATAGCTTTTCTCACCTCTGGATGCTCTCTAAACACAATTTTCACGACCTTTTTCTGTACACGAGTTCATCCATTCAGACGCGGAAGTGTGATTGATCATAGCTTGCCTGGGAAAAAAAAGCTTGGATCTTGACCGAAATTCACGTCTCTTTGTCCGAGTCCGTCTTCCAGAGCGATGAAGCCAGTGTCGTGGCATCCTCGGCAATGTTTTGCCTCCCATTGTCAATAACAATTCGAGGCTCTTCCTTGTGCACCTACAAAATCATGTTATAAGTATTATAAGTTTCCGAGACAATGAATAACGCTGAAAAGTTCACCTGGGATTGCGAGGATGGAGGATTTGTCGTGGCCTTTTGAGTTTCCAGGATGGAACTCAGGGAGTAGAGACCCATTCCAATCACAGCTACCAAGATCCCGGAAATATTTCTCCAGCTGAACGGAGTCTTCAGGACGACGTAGCCAAAAGTCAATATGAGGCAGGTCTTGAGGTGCCCCAGCACCTGGTAGCTGACAGGAGAGGTTCTTCCGATCACCAAGAAGGTGCTAAAGTTGACGGACACAGCGATCAAGCAGGACAAAACTATAAACATCTACACACACCAGAAAAAACAAAAAAAAGAAAAAAGAGTGTGGTCAGAGCACTCCAAAGTGACAGGAAATCACGTTTGTTTTACCACGACTTTGGGGTTGTACTCGAAGGCAAAAACGTTTTGCTTGGTGAGCGCAAAGTCGAAGATCGGACCCATGAGAATTAATGTCGTGACTTGATAGGGGCAGGACTGGAAGAGAAGCTGGGTGGAAGAGACCTTGTACCCCTTCTGGATCGTGTTCGTCATCTGGTAGAACAAGGTTATATAGAAGTTCGGAAGAACTGAAACATGTACACAAGCTTACAATTTGAGCAATGCAGGTTGTCAAAATCGCAAACAGCGACAAAACTGTTCCTTGAAAGTTAAGTTGCAGATCCGTGACTGTAGCCACGGCAACTCCGCCCAGGAGAATAACTAGCGACAGCTGAATCCTGTGGCTGGAACACCACGAGGCATTGGATTTATACTAACTTAATAAGCACAAGAAGGTACCTGAAGTGTTTCCCTAGGAAGATTGTCTCCAGTATAACTGTGCATGGGATAATCGCGAGCTTTGTCATCTGGAAAAGAAGATTAGCTTGTATAGTATGAGAACTTCAGCTTACCTGGTAGAAACCAACTGAGTTGTAGCCCAGGCTGAGGTTGAGGAAGGCAATGGAAGATGCATTGAGTACACCGAAAGCCATGACGACGCGCATGTTAATGTGCTTTTGCTGGAAAAAGTTGAGCCAGTTTGCGATCTGGAGCGAGCAGTACGTGATCACGAGGTGCCAGCTCGAAAGAGTTGTGGCTGCCAAGATCAAACAATGAAAACTTTGAAACTTTGCACTTTGGCATCTCTAGAAGCTAAAAGCGTTGGATTTCTCAATCTAGGGGGAACGAAGGATAGAAGTTGCAAACTTACCGAAGTTGAAGCCCAGGTTTGATATGAGGGCCTTGTTGCAGATGACAATGGCCACCGCCGAGACGACGGACAAAGCCAAAGCTCCGGCCGTGCTCCAGCAAGCGCTCGATTCCGCGGTCATTGCTAGTCGCAAACTTCCCAAACTCTGGGAGCGACGAGGGAAAAGGAAAAAACACCACCACCAAAGAGCTCCACGTAGAGAGAGTGATGCGACCTAATCGATCACAATGTGTGTGGCTACTCCAATGTCCGAAACGAATAAAAGGGACAAGCTTTATTTACGAAGAAAGGAACTGGGAGATATGAGATGAGATTGAGATGAGATGCAAGAAAAAGGAATGCAAATTTAAACTGCTAGAAACTTACGTGAGATCTGGTATGAGTTGACTCGAATTGGGCGATGGAGAGGAGTTTCTTCCTCGCTGTGATCCCCGGAGAGATTGGAGAGAAGGCAAATTCTTTCTTCTCGCTCGCCCCAAGTGTGTGTTCTTGTGACAAAACCAACTGATGCTTGTTACACGGAGGTGGAGGACCACCAGCAAGTAAGCAACATGTCGCATTCGAGAAGTTGCTCCTCCCTATCAATCAAACACCCAAAACCAAAAAAATCTCGCAAAGGAACAAAAGAGAGGGAGAGGAAACACTAAGAAATGGATGAGAGAATGAGAGATTTGACAGCAAAGCAGTGCTCCAAACATGTCTTTCGGGCTGATGGCCAGTAGTTTTCTCTTCGTAGAGCTGAAAGCGTGCATTCTAGCTAAGATTTCTATCATAATTTAAAGGAAAGAAAGAAAGAGAGAAAGAGAGGATGGAAATTCTTGATGGGTTTTTTGGTATCTGGATTGATCTGGCAGTGAGCTGATGTTTTCGCTTCCGTTGTGGGTTGTGTGTGATAGAATGCAAAAGCACCAACCAACCATACCTACATTTCTTGATGATTTCTCAACTACACCCCCAAAAACAAGGGGAGGAATCGTGAAATCGTGCCCAAGGAATGCTGGATTGAAAGAATTCTCCATTGATTTTATAATGTTTGGTGCGCTCGAGACAAGACAACACCACCACCACGACCCTAACAGAGCACTCTGGTTTTAGGTTAAATTTATATACTCTGTTTTAGGGTTCCTCGCAAACAGAGCACATTTCTCTCACGACCAGTCTATGTCACCCACTTCATCGCCATAATCCTCGATTTCTTCCGTGGAATCGACACAGCTTCCCACTGAGGCCTGACCATCCACCGAAATCGGTCCCGTGACGTTGAAATCGACGAGATTCTTGTCGCTGGTCTGAATTCTCACTGCTCGCAGCAGCCAGTCTCCATCATCCGAGCTCGAGGAAGCCGAGCTTCCAAAGAAGCGTATCAATCGCATCTGGCAAATGCCCGCCAAGCATTTGCCGCCGCTCGCCAGCCGCAGCGTGGTCTCTCCGCACCGATCCTTTGTCTGCGGCAAATCGGACTGCCCCCACATCACGAATTCCTGCTCCTCGTTTCCCAGCTCCACCAGAACCGAGACTCGAGGGGAGCTGCTCCACCGATCCAAGCACTCGCTGCTCGGGAAGAATGTGAGATCGTAGCGACACTCCTGCAGCGAAAACCAAAGAACTTCGATCTCCCTGTGAATCGAAAGAAAAAAAGAAAAAAAAGCTTGCCGCTGTGGTGAGAGCGATCATCCTTGCGTCGAGAAGCATGACGAGGAGCAGCCACCACCACCACATCGTTACTTGACGAGCTTGCAAAGAAAACTTTCTTTCTCGTCGTGTAAGCAATGATCTTTCGCTCTCTCGAGCGCCTGGACGTTGGACGACGATGGATTCTCTTGAAAGCCACCTTAACCTTTGGCTTGATAATTCGACAAGCTCGGGAATGTGGGTGGCACGACTTGTGTGCCTGTGCTTGCTTCCGCTGGCCGGGTTTGGTTTGAATCGCATCGTTTCAAACATGCCTGGCAGCATGAATCGGTCCTGGCCAGGGAAGAAAAACTCTGGAAAAAGCACAGCATGTTGTAGACGTGCACCCATGATTTTAATGCCAAATTACCTGGAAAAGTCGAATTGAGCCCCACTGGATCGAGTGAGTATCTAGCGCAAAGTGAAAACTGTTAGAAAAATCAAAACTCCGACTTTGTTCCCTAAGTAGTTTGATAACGAGCTCGTTAAAAACGTTAAACGCTTACAGCCGATGGACTTTGTGCTACCATCGTCTTACCAACGATGTTAGAAGCTGAGGAGAAAGTGTTAAGGAGATTTGCACTAGAACTAGAATGGAAGTTACTTCACCTCGAAAAACTCCAGAATGCTTCCTTTCTTAACGCTGGTGTCCCTGCTCGTGTCCTCATTTGGGAAGAGAGCCGTGAAAAGCGTTCGCCAGGAAACCAGAAGAACGAAAGTGCTCCCCATACTGATCAAAATGAAAGTTTGCGGTGGAGTGTGACCCGTGATCAACGTTCGAATGACTAGGCCCAGCTGCTCACATACAACTATTAGCTACGTCTTTCGAGAGATCTTCGTACTTACGGGAATGCTTACGCCCCATGACTTGATTGCTGAAAAGGTAGCACCACGCAAGCCGTAGAGTCCTTGACCCTCCGGGCCAAAGCCACCGAGAAAATAAGCTCCCAGCAGCCACCCTGAACGGACAACTCGTCAGCGTAAAGCTCCAAAGTTTTATCACCTAGAAGAAAACGTTACCGGCAATGAAAGGATCAGCAGTCCTGAAAATGTCCCAGCTGAGCGGCGACGATCCATGGTTTGCTCGTCCAATCGACGCGAACGCGAGCAAAGCTAGCAAATCTCCTCCAGCTAGAACAAGTACTCTCCTGGAGAAAGAAAAAACCTTCAGTACACCACCGAAAGAGAGAGCTCATACATACCCCCACGATGGTCGAGCTGTTCTCTCCTTGTCCACCTTTATCACGCCTTCCACCTCCACACCTTCGTCCTCCACCGCCAAAGTCTTGAAGCTGGGCTCTTGCTGCGTGTCCTGAGCTCTTCGAAGAACTGGGCGACGGACGGATTGGACAAGCCTGGACCTGGAAAACGCACACTCGACCTCGGAGGTGGCTGCTCGGAGACCCAGATTGCGTCGCGACAGGGAGCTCAAAGAACACGACTGAAGTGGCAATGAAGAAGACGATGCCACTCCAGAGCTATCCACGGAAGAACAAAGCGTGGAGCTGCTGCTACTGCCGCTACGAACAGAAGCTGGCTGGATAACTCGAGCCGCCCCCATGGGAATTCAAAACGAGAAATAGAGAGAAGAGCTACAAACCCTGTCGGAGGATAGAATCGTTGAAAAAATCAATTTTCCGGACAAATTAGAACAAAAAAATACTATGCGAAAGACAAACCCGACTAGAAGATAGCCTTGGAACGCTTCTTGGCCTCACTGTAGAGGATCACTCCGAGAATGGTGATGGTGAATCCTGCCAGCCCGGTGAGCGTAACCGGGTTCCGGAAGATAAGAACCGAGATGACTGCAGCAACCGCGGCTTTGGCATTTCCCAGGACCTGGAGAGTGAGAGCGCTCGTGTGCTTGGTAACCAGGAAGTTGAAGAGGTTGACGGAGTAAGCGATCATCATGTTGGCGGCGAGAACCAGCAGAAACCACGGCTTCTTCTCGGCCTCGCTCGCTATAACGCCGAAAACGTTGCCTTCTATGAAGAGTGCCGCTGGAAGGAGGAGGCCGACCGCAATCGGAGCCATGTACATGAGGAGATTCATCGAGTGGAGCTTCTCCGCTTCTGAAGTGAGCAGCAGCCCCTGGACCACTGACTTGAGAGCTCTCGCTGCTGTGGACACAAGGCAAGCTACAAATCCCACGACGTTGAAGAGCGGCTCGCCGTTGCTGGCTAGAGCTATTCCCAGGACCACCGGGACCAGCGCCATGTAAACTGTCCCTGTTTCCTTCTTGCAGGTGATAAGGAAGGCGAAGATGGCAGTGAAGAACGGCGTCGTCGCACCTATAGCCTGGTTGAAAGAAACTGGAAGGTACCTCAGCGACATGTTTCCACTCACGACGGACAAGGAGAAGATGGAGCTGAGCGCCACGATCTTGAGAAGCTGGCTTCGGGATCCGATGTACTGGATGGGGACGATGTTAAGCCACCCAACAGCAATGAAGCTGCTGATAGAGCAAGAACACATGTGTAGCATCGTCAGGAAGACCGGGTACCTGAATCCAAAGTAGCTCAGCAGGTACTTGTTGAGCAGGAGAACTCCAATGTTGGATGCGTACCAAGACAAAATGATGAGACTTGTAGCGAAGCCTGCCGAGCTCTGGTGCTTGGATGCTGCAGAAGGCTGGACCGTCGAAGGAATGTCGAGCACGGAGATGGATTCTAGCTTCGGGTTGCTATTCCGACGGACCCATGTCGTCTGGTGATGAGAATCCATACTGCCTTCTCGCCTGAGATTGACAGATACCTATCTTCTCGTGCTATCTCGGTCCGGAAATTCCCCGAATATTCAAGCTGCAAGCCGGAGTTCATTAGCTTCGGCGTCAAGGAAACGAAGACAGGCTTACTTCCCGAGAAAAATTTAGAATCGCGAGACCAAAGCGCGGTTTTGCTTCTACTCTCCAGCTTTCCAGTTTGGTATGTCAGCTGTTGCCTGGTTGATCATCTTGACAAGCATAGCCTGTAAGTGACGCGACGCAGCACGAACAATAAGACAAGAAGTATAATATGAGAGAAAAAACGTACCACACTTCCTGGGACATTTGCAGGTGGCAGTGTTAAATTTCGCGGAGGAGCACCTGCTGTAAACGATCTCTTATCGAAACGCCATTCTCCAACTTTCCCGTACGTCAAAACACCCTGAGACGAGGAAGCTAACTTCATTTGGATGCGTAACAGTAAGTGTACTACCTCCAGAGTGTAATCGCAGCCGTATGTGTAATGGATGATATATTTGTCTCCCAGTGATGTATCCCAAGGAGGCTGCGAGAAACCATCAGCAAAATCAATCTCCACAGCAACTAGATTGAATCCAAACCTGAATCATAAAGTCCTTACGCAAAGTGTGCTTCACACCGTGAACAGCGGAAGCAATAGCATACGCGTACCTATGAACAACATGGTAGGATCAACAACACCATAGGAAAAAAGAGCTCTATACTTACATCTCCAAAACCCAGCCAAATGCTTTATCAGTCTCCTGGTCCTGCTTCATTTGAATCGAAAGATTGTGCCAAGTTGGAGCAATTCTTAGAAGCTGAGCCTGCAAAGTCCACCAAGCTGCGAGGAAGTCTTTCCCAAGCTCGAAAAACCTTGCGTACCTTGTGAATGATCGCAGGAGAATTTCCCACCGGATCGATAGCTTGCACAGGTCCTTTGAAAAACTTTCCAACCTCGCGCTTGTATTTCTCAGGAGTGATGTAAAAGAATGGAAACGCCGCGGGCCGCAGCCTGGAAGCCAGATTTGGAAGAGGCTTCGTGATGAGATGGTCGGGCTCGGCCATGAAGATATAGCTGCGAAAGAGGTAACCAAAGTTCTCGAGCAACACGAAGAAAAGTAGAACAACGTACTCTTCCTCAATGGTAGCATTGCGAAGCCACTGGACGAAAGCCCAAGGTCGATGGAGTACTATGTATCCCTGCGAAGCAAAGAAAGAAAGAAAAAAAAAATTCTGGGAGAAAGAAAGAAGCAAAGATCACGCTACCTTGTCCAAACCGGAGGGAAGAGGATCGGCAACGAAGGTCGGGATCTCATCCATGAGATCGTCCGGAGCTGCCGAGTGGAGAATTCTCGTGAATCCGCCCATCTCCGACCCTGGCTGGTCCTTGAACTTCTTAAACCAGTAGTACATGATCCGGCATTGCCAGCGCGCGTAGGATCCCGAGGAGGAGGTCACTACCGTGTGGAAGAGCTTCTTCTTGCCGCCGGGATTGAAATCGAACTCCTCCCCGCCGCCGAGAGTGCTGTCGTTTGCGGCGATGAATCTAGCGGTGTTGTAGATCGCTGCAGTGAATGCCACAAAGAGGAGTACCAGAAAGAAGAAGCTGATCCTTCCCATTCCCGTGCGGCGCCGGAGAATCCTTCCGCCCTGACGGTAGATCGAAGCGAAAAAACTTTTAGGGTTCTATAGTGGAGGGCTACTTTTTTACCCTTTCCAAGTAAAGCCCATACTGCGCCAACCGAGATAGAAGACGATACTCTTTATTACAAAGGATGAGAACTTGAGAAGCGAAACCAGCTAAAGAAAGCTCCACAAACGTCGTAGCAACTATAGATTAAATTCACGAAAGAGAAGACATGATTGATCTAAAAGGATCGCCGCGAGACGTAGGATTTGAAGACGTCGTTGAGCACAGTCTTTGAAACCAGCGACGCCTTGAGCAGAGACAAGGCCTGAAGTCAAAAGAAACATTGGAAGATCAGAGTGCGAGAGAGATCGGTTTAAACCTCGTGAGCGCCAACGCTGACCTCGATGCTCTCGAGATCGGCCATAGCTTTCACCTTGAGCTTGTTGAGCAGGACGATGCTCTTGATGGTCGAAGTCGGGTACACCTCGAGCTCGTCGGTGATCATGAAGATCACATTCTCCTTCACGTAGCCAGCAGTTTTGGTGGAGTTTTCTTCGTTGGGTAGCATCGTCAACTGTACAGGTTGATAGCTGTAGGGATGGCATGAAAAGGATGCACTGCCAGCCCTCGCATTGTAGCAGCTACTGCACCCACACTTATAGTACACCGGGGAAGTAGTCGACTGCGGGTTTTCGATGGCGAGCATCTTTCCTCCACGGAACGCGGAAGCATCCGGCGCTGGATTGGTGAGAACACTCTTACTGACTTCCATGCTCGACTGATCCATCTTCTCGATACTCTCAAACAGCCTCATGGCACCGGTCTCCATGCCGGAATCCACAGTTCGCAGGAGCTTGATCACAGACCCCACCGGAAGCACGAGAAAGCTCATGAGGAGATCGACGAAGTCCTTCTTTGCCTCGAGGAAAAGAACAGTGCCATCCGGCTTCTTGTAGAGGAGATTGACCTTCATCTCCACGGCAGAGCTAGCGCGCGGCATGACCGTTTTCGAAAAAAAACTGAGAGAGCTCGAAACTTTCTTGTTCCGGACAAGACACTCGCCATAAATACACGAATGCGAACCACTTTGGTTTGATTGAATATACAGTCTCGCTTATTCCAAGGCCTTGCTTATGGTCTCAATCATCACATAAGATCTCCAAAATCACTATATGCCTTCAAACTTTAAAGCCTTGGAGCTTTTGATCAATGCCTCTCATCTTGAAACTCGCGTAGGAAGTCCTCGTCTTTGAAAGGAAAGCTCCCGTACTCCTACAACTCCAACCCCTTCTCTCGTGAAACACCTCTGCCAGTCGAGTCCTGGCTGCTAGCGATTGACAAGCTCTCAACATTTCCATCGCGACCATAAGCCTCGAGCAGCAAAAGCCATGAGGGATGGTTCCAGGCTTGTGGAGAAGATTTTCAAGAAAATGCCAAGCAGGGCGGCGTTGTTATAATCATGTGATTAGTGTTAATCAATGTGGCTTAAAGTATGACTAAGTTAAATTTAGTCAGTTTATTTTACAGAGATTAATTCACGACTAATCAAGGTTTTTGGGGGACATGGTGGAAGTGGAGCATGCTCACAGCTGTAAGCAGTGGAGCAGAGGGCTTGGGGGTGGCTGGGTGGCAATCTGCTTTGCATCAGCGTGGTAACTTTTCATTAGGTTCTAACAGATGTTCCATGGAAAGCAAAAGAGCTCTAGGAAAACGATGATCTCTGAGTTGAAGATGTGCCAGGCCATTTCCAAATGCTAGGCAACCATGAGTACGAGCTAGAGTTTTAAACTCTTTTAACTTATTATTAAGGTTCCCTTTTAGGGTTCTAGCGAAAGCTTTTTAATCTAGCGAGCGACTATGGTGGGTTTCAGGGATCGCAAGAAGATGGAGCTGGAGGAGGCGCCGTCGGAGCTCGACGAGGACCGCAAGGAGATCAATCCTCACATTCCTCAATTCATGTCTGCCGCGCCGTGGCATGTCAATGAAGCCAAGGCGACGCTCAAGCACCAGCGCAACTGGAAATCCAAGCACAAATCCGGCTGCGCGGCCAAGCGGCACGATCGAGGACGCAAGACGCACCAGGCGACCAAGTACCGAAAGGGCGCCTGCCAGAACTGCGGTGCCATGACGCACGATGCAAAGGCGTGCCTGGAGCGGCCGAGGACTGTGGGCGCGAAGTGGACCAACAAGAGCATTGCGGCGGACGAGGAAGTCGAGAGCTTGGAGCTGGACTACGATGGCAAGAGGGACCGGTGGAATGGATATGATCCGGCCAGCTACTCGAGCGTGATCGAGCACTACGAGCGCCGGGGCAAGGCACGAAGCAAGTTTAGGAAGGTGGAGCAGCTCAAGAAGATGATGGAGCCTAGAGGTGGCGACGAGGAGGAATCCAAGACCAGTGACGAAGAGGATCACGATCACGACGAGGCCAAAGTTGACGAGAGCAAGCAGATGGATTTCGCGAGGGTGGAGAAGCGAGTGAAGACTGCCGGGGGTGGGAGCACTGGGACTGTGAGGAACTTGCGGATCCGAGAGGACCAGGCCAAGTACTTGAAGAACCTCGATCCAAACTCGGCACACTTCGATGCAAAGTCGCGATCGATGCGCGAGGACCCGCTGCCCGGCAGTGATCCTAGCGAGAAGTTCTACGCGGGAGACAACCAGGACAGGATGACCGGCGAGGCTCGCGACTTTCAGCTGCTAAACATCCACGCCATGGAAGCTTATGCGAAGGGAAAAGGCATCCATCCCCAGGCAGCGCCGTCGCAGGCCGAGCTTCACCACAGGGAGTTTAAGACGAAGAAGGAGAAGCTGAAGCAGGAAACTTCGGCCAGGATCAAGGACAAGTATGGGAACGCTGCTTGCGAGGAGAAGCTCCCCGTGGAGCTGCTTCTCGGCCAAACCGAGACGCAAGTCCAGTATGATAGAGCTGGAAGGGTGATCAAGGGAAGCGAGGGAGTGATCGTGGTCGCAGCTAGCAAGTATGAGGAGGACGTCTTCCTCGGCAACCATACCAGCGTGTGGGAATCGTTCTTTGCGAACGGGCAGTGGGGATTCAAGTGCTGCTGGCAATTTGTCAAGAACAGCTACTGCACTGGGGAGGCCGGGATCGCCGCTGCACAGGCCTCGGCTCAGAGTCTCTTGCGGGAGAATCGAAGAAGTCTTGAAGGTGGAGAAGAGATTATCGTCAAGCGGGTGTGTGATCTTGACGAGAAGAAACTCGAGCAGACTCTCGAGAGGATAGAGGAGGCCGAGAACGAAGAGAAGGACGAGAGGAAGAGGAAATACAATGCGGCGTCCTCGCACGACGTCTTCACTGCCGAAGATCTCGAAGCTTACAGGATCAAACGCGCCCATTCCGATGATCCAATGATAGATTTCTTGTAAACTTTGTATAGAAATGGATCGATCACTTGCTCCTTTGTGGACGATCCCAAGTGCGAGCGTTCTTGCAATAGTACGTAGAGCTCCTCTACACACAAAGTTGGCGAGCTTCCACTTCTAGTCGCGCTAAGATATGGAATATTCTAAAGATGCTTCGTTCCAGAGGGGCCTATGCCCATCTCTTGAAGACGGCGGGGCGCGACCTCGCCCTCGCGAGGACGATCGAGGAGTGGATAAAAAAGGATAGATTGGATGGCGATCTCTACATCGCCAATCTGCTGCTCCATTTCTACGGCCGGAGCGGCGGCGCCCACGACGCCCGGCGAGTCTTCCTCGAGATCCAGCGCCCCAATGTCTTCTCTTGGAACATCCTCTGCCAGGCGCTTGCCGAGAATGGGCATCAGTCTGACGCCACCGAGCTCTTCCACCAGATGCCGCGGCGCGATCCAGTGTCGTGGTCGTCAATCGTCGCCGCGCAAGTCGAGAGCAGCAATCTCGCGCTGGCCTTTGAGTTCTTCGCCAAGATCCCGCAGTGGAGCATCTACTGCGTCAACGAGATCGTTACAGCATTTGCCCGTGGGGGCTATCTGGAGCAAATGAAGGATCTGTTTGACAGGATGGTCGACCGCAGTGTGATCTCGTGGACGACAATTCTTACCGGCTATGGTGATCTCTGTTTGCTAGATCTTGCCGTGGAAGTGTTTGACAAGATCCCGCAGCGCAATATCGTTGCTTGGAACGCAATGCTTGCGGCATTTGCCTTAAATGGCCATTTGGAAAAGGCGAGGCGTTTGATGGATGAAATGCCCGAGGCGGATCTCATCTCTTGCGCGACAATGTTGGCGGCGCTGGGAGAGTTTGAGCAGCACGAAGAAGCGGAGTTTCTCTTTAGGAAGATGCCGGTGAGGAACTTGAGGATCTGGAACTCCATGGCAGCGGCGTATTCGCACAATGGTCTCGTCGATCAGGCCGAGATCTTCTTCGAGAGAATGCCACAGCATGATCTCGTCTCGTGGAATTTGATTCTCAAGGCCTACTCGAGGGTGGGATTCATGGCCGAGGCACAGGAGATCTTTGAAAAGCTCCCGAGAAGAGACTCCATCTCATGGAACACACTCATGGTTGCCTATGGAAGAGCAAAGCATTTGGAAATGGCCTGGCAGGTCTTCAAGCGTATGCCTCAGAGATCATCGGTGTCGTGGGCTGTGTTGCTGGAGCTCTTCGCTTTCCACGGAGCATCGTCTAGGCTTGTGGAGAAGATTTTCAAGAAAATGCCGAGCAGGGACCATCTTTCATGGCTGTTGCTGCTCGAGGCTTATGGTCGCGATGAAAAAGTTGGCGCGATGGAGAGTTTGTTTCAGGCGATGCCTCGGCAATCGCTAGCAGCCGGGACTCGTCTCGTAGAGGCGTTTCACGATAATGGTTTTGGAGAGAAGGGGTTGGAGTTGTACGAGAGCTTTTCTTTCAAAGATGAGGATTTCCTATGCGAGCTTCAAGATGAGAGGCATTGATCAAAAGCTTCAAGGAATCAAGCGGATAGCTCTCCTTTTTTCTTCCCATACGTTTTAGATCATGCCTTGGTAGTATGCAAGGCCTTGGATTAAGCGAACCTGTCATATATCTCGCAAACCAAGGAATTAGAACTGAATTTCTTCTCAGAAAGTTTCGAGGCATTCGTGTCAATATAAGTGAGTCTCTAGACGGAAAAGCTTGGAGCTCTCTCAGTTACTTGATCATGCCGCGTGCTAGCTCTTTACTCCCCTGACGTGGAGTAAATGTTCTCCAGCTCGTCATAGTTAAAGAATAAGGAAGCCATGAGGGTTTGAAGTCGCCATGGCAGCCAGCCTGAAGGTCGACCCTCGGAATCCAATACCATGTGATCATGTGAGAACGTCGACAACATGATCGAGACTGCCATTTCGATGATCCAACGAAAGAGTAGTGCTTATTATTTATTAATCCAATTGATCTTGTCAATTTTGTATAGAAATAGATCGATCACTTCGCGGTAGAGTGGCTTGTCTTCGTACAAACGCGCGCTTCCTTGTAGACGATCCCCGGCTTGCACAGATATCCTTCCTCCGGAGCGCAGTGGCGATCTTCGCTGCAAACACACAGCCCTCCGGGCGCGCAGCCATCGCTGGAGCTCACCACACTCCCTCGGATCCCAAGCACAGCATCCGACCACTCGCTGGAAAACCAGCCGTCGGGATCCATCTTTCGTCTCACCTCGAGAAACTTTGCGAGGTTCCTCGTCTTGGATCTGATGTTCTTAAAAGTGTGAGGCCGGTTCTTCCCGAGGTGAGGCATGCCATCGTACTTGAACAGGAGGATTTGCTCCAGTTCTTCCATGATCGCCTCGTACGCTTGTGGACGAGCAGAGTCCCTGTGATTGAACGCGAAGAACTCGACGTGCGTCACGTCCCTCTTCTCGCCGAGATAAGCTCTGGAAGCTCTCACGTTTCGCAGCCACAGCCCTCCATAGGTATCGATCGCGCACATCGCCGTGGGATCTCTCGCCAGGATGGCTTTCACGTCGCGGATGAAGCTGCTGACCTGTGACAAAGCTATGGAGATCGAGACGTCGAATCCGAAGAAGCCGTGAGCGTTGAAATCCCAAGCACAAACCAGCCTCTCGGCCTCCGGAAGCTCCAAGTTCGTGAGGTTCTCGTAAGTGTACTGACATCCTCCCGTTGTTTGGAGCTTGTGGTTGAATCCAACCACGGGGAAGCCTGTGAAGCTGCTACCATCGTTGAGATATCCACTGCCGGAGGACACCTTGCTCCTCATGGTAACGTGAGCGTTCTCACAATAGTACGTAGAGTTCACCGTAGCTTGAGCGCGCTCATCTACAAAGCACTCGTGAGTCACACAGAGTTGGCGAGTTCTCAGGAAGTTCCTCAGAAGTTCTCGGGAAGTTTTTCCTTACGTACCATCTAATCGCGCTCGCTTTGCTGCTGATGCCTTCACCGGCTTGAATCCCGCTAGCGTGAACACACCCTCGCCCGTACGAGTCACTGGAACTCGATCATCCCTCTTGAGCACAAACTTCTTCACGGATGGAAACCAGTACATGTCTCCAAACTCGTGCCTCCTCGCCAGATCCACATACTCCTCCTCGAGCGACGCATCGTCCATCGCCACCGGAGCCACGGACCTCTTAAACATTGGCTCTACGGCAAACGTGACCTGTGACACCGCTCCAAGAACTCCCAGAGAGATCCTCGCGGCATTGAAGCTCTCTGGCTCCCGATCAGTGAGAGTGACCACTTTCGCGAATCCCTCCTCCTGGGACGCTGGAACCACGATCCTCATCCCCACGAGATACTCGTGGGTGCCACCGCCAAGGCCCCACAGACTGCTACCATGGGCTCCAGTGCTCACCATCCCAGACACCGAAACTCCATCCCAGAATGTGGTCTGCACGAGCGCAAATCCCTTGCTCGCTGCCTGATCGATCAATTCTCTCAGACCAACTCCAGCATCCGCGATCACGGTCATGGATTTCTCGTCCACAACTACAGTGGAATTGTACTTACTGGTGGAGATCAGGACTCCCGGGTTGGATCCGTCGTTGGGACAGGCGATCTTGTTGTGAGAGTGGACGTTCTTGCTTACCACTTTCACCTTGTGCTTGTGACGAACAGCAAACGCCACGGCCGCGACGAGCTCGGGCTCGCTGGTGGGGAAGAAAACCCTGGCGACTCTGCAGGGCTTGCGATCCGGCCATGGCCCACGGAAGTAATTGTGGAGCTCGCAGCTGCCGCCACTGATGCTGCTTGCGCACTCGATCGTCGCCTCCGCGCTGGAAATCTCTCCGGAGAGCGTCGCGAGGAGGAGCAGCGAGAGAAACATTGCCAAACGAATAAGAAAAGTTATTACAAAAAACTGTTAGTAAAATATTCGAAAGATGCTTCGTATCTCCTCGCGAGAACGATCGAGGAATGGATCAAGATGGATTGGATTGGATACATCGCCAATCTGCTGCTCCATCTCCACGGCCGGAACGGCAGCGCCCACGCGAGTCTTCCAAACATCCTCTGCGCCGAAAATGGGTATCTCCGACGCCACCGAGCTCTTCCACCAGATGCCGCGGCGCGATCCAGTGTCGTGGTCGTCAATCTTCGCCGCGCATGTCGAGAGCAGAATCCTCGCCCTGGCGTTTGATTTCTTCGTCAAGATCCCGCAGTGGAGCATCTACTGCGTAAATGCGATTGTGACAGCATGCCTGTGGGGGGGTATACAGATCGAATGAAGGACCTCTTCGACAGTATGGTCGATCGTAGCGTTATTCCGTGGACGACGATTCTTACCGGATATGGAGATTTCTTCTTGCTAGAAATTGCCGTGGAAACGTTCAAAAAGATCCCGCAGCGCAATATTGTTGCTTGGAACGCAATGCTTGCGGCTATTGCCTTTCATGGGCATTTCGACAAGGCGAGGCATTTGATGGATGAGATGCCCGAGGAGGATCTCATCTCTTGCGCGACAATGCTGGCGACGCTGCGAGAGTTCGAAAAGCATGAAGAAGTAGAGTTTCTCGCTAGAAAGTTGCCGGTGAAGAACTTGAGATTCTGGAACTCCATGGCAGCGGCAATGGTCTCGTCGACCAGGCCGAGATCTTGTTCAAGAGAATGCCGCAGCATGATCTCGTCTCGTAGAATTTGATTCTCAAAGCCTACTCGATGGTGGGATTCATGGCCGAGGCACAGGAGATTTATGAAAAGCTCCCGGGAAGAGACACCATCTCGTAGAAGGTTGCCTATGGAAGAACAAAGCATTTGGAAATGGCTTGGCAGATCTTCAAACGTATGTCTCAGAGGTCATCGGTCTCGTGAGTTTTGCTCCTGGAGCTCTTCGCTTTCCATGGAGCATCGTCTAGGCTTTTGGAGAAAGATTTTCAAGAAAATGCCGAGCAGGGACCATCTTTCATGGCTTTTGCTGCTCGAGGCTTATGGCCTGGATGGAAAAGTTGACGCGGTGGAGAGCTTGTTCTGGGCAATGCCTCGTAGCAGCCTGGACTCGTCTCACAGAGGCGTTTCACGATAATGGTTTTGGAGAGAAGGGGTTGGAGTTGTACGAGAGCTTTTCTTTCAAAGACGAGGATTTCCTATGCGAGCTTCAAGATGAGAGGCATTAGTTTTCCATTACTCTCTCGGAGGAAGCGGAGATTCTGAGCTATAAAATCGGATAGTGATTCTGGAGATCTGATTCATGCGGTCCTGTGACATACGTTTACATCATGCCTTGGTATGAGCAAGGCCTTGGAAGAAGCGAGCCTGTCATATATCTCCAAGGAATTATAAGTGATTCTCTTCTAGAACGTCATTCGTATACACGTTTCGAGCTCTCTCAGTTTTTTTCTTGAAGAATCATGCGGCCCGCCAGCTCTTGCTCTCCTGCCGTGGGGATGAAGGTCAATCTCCTCTACAAGAAGCCGGATGGCACTGTTCTTTTCCTCGAGGCAAAGAAGGACTTCGTCGATCTCCTCATGAGCTTTCTCGTGCTTCCGGTGGGGTCTGTGATCAAGCTCCTGCGAACTGTTGATTCCGGCATGGAGACCGGTGCCACGAGGCTGTTTCAGAGCATCGAGAAGATGGATCAGTCGAGCATGGAGGTTAGCAAGAGTGTTCTCACCAATCCAGCGCCGGATGCTTCCGCGTTTCGGGGAGGAAAGATGCTCGCCATCGAAGGCTCGCAGTCGATTACTTCCCCGGTGTACTATAAGTGTGGGCATCCTAGCTGCTACAATGCGAGGGCTGGCAATGCATCCTTTTCATGCCATCACAGCAGATATGAATCTGTGGAGCTGACGATGCTACCCAACGAAGAAAACTCCACCAAAACTGCTGGCTACGTGAAGGAGAATGTGATCTTCATGATCACCGACGAGCTCGAGGTATACCCAACTTCGACCATCAAGAGCATCGTCCTGCTCAACAAGCTCAAGGTGAAAGCTATGGCCGATCTCGAGAGCATCGAGGTCAGCGTGGGCGCTCACGAGGTTTAAACCGATCTCTCTCGTACTCTGATCTTCCAATGTTTCTTTTGACTTCAGGCCTTGTCTCTGCTCAAGGCGTCGCTGGTTTCGAAGACTGTGCTCAACGACGTCTTCAAATCCTACGTCTCAAAGCGATCTTATTATCAGGCCTAGATCAATCACAAAAATCATGTCATGATGTTAGATTTCTCGTGTAGTTTGTGCTAGTTACGTAAACACTAGAAAGAATGATGACAAAGTTTGTGGAGTCGAGCTTTCTTAATAAGTTGGGCGTGTTTTTGCGGGGTTTTCTTCCTGCTCTCGATTTCTCATCCTTAGTGAAAAGTACCGGCTATGTCGCGTTCGACTCGAGCTGCTTTCCGCGGAGGTGATGCGAGTGAATCTCCTGTACAAGAAAGAGCAGTGGCAAGGTTCTTCCATCGGCGTTGGCGCCGCAAAGTTGTATGACAGCGTCGAGAAGATGGATGAGTCGAGCATGAATCCAGAGCCGGATTCTTCCGCGTTTCGTGAGGATCGAAGCGCCGGCTACTAAATGTGCTGATTATTTGGGTCTACGATATGATCAAGGCGAGGAAGCTGTCAAGCTCATGTCCTGTCATGGTTTCGGTGCCGGTGTTAGGAAGATGACCATTGTTTCTTCGGCCAAAGAAGAAGAAGAAGCCGCGATCGCGAAGGCAACCAAGTTCGGCTACGAGAATGTGATCTTCATGATCACGGACGAGCTCGACGACATCCACGATCAAAAGCATTGTTTTGCTCAACAAGCTTAAGGTGAAGAGCATGGATGATCTCGAAGCATTGATATGAAAGTGATCTTGGAAGTTTTTCTTTGACTTGATCCGATTTTATGAACAGGTTCTTCGCCTGCTCAAAGCGTCGCTGGTTTCCAACACTGTGCTCAATGACGTCCTCAAAACTTACGTCCCGTGATTAGCAAGTGTAATGTGATTGTATTCCAAGAATCTTTGCTACTAGAGATGGAAAGTTAGATCTCCAATCTGTAAAACTATGCTAAGCTACTTATCTTTCAGTGTGTTGTCTCGAACTGACGGCAATGGTGATCGCCTTTCTGACCTTGGGAGGCTCTTGAGAACATCTCGCAAGGCGTAGTAGTGGCTGTCACATTTGTGATCGGATAGCATCGAGCCAGTGAGCACAATCCTGCTAAATCTCGCATCGCGATTGACCAGCCAGAGCGAGCATCCTTGAGCAGCACTGTCACCCTGTTGATCTTTCGTCGAAGCTCGACCGCAAAGATGATAAAGAGTTCCTGGTGAGTATAGCTCCTCATGTTCCTTTACGGTCTTTGTCGCCTCACTCTTTGAAGATTCATCCTTCTCCATGATTTGGTTTTTTGGATTTTGTGGAGTAGCTTCTTTTTCTGTATAGGCTGCAGTCAGTGCAAACTCTTCTTTTTTCTAACCAGAATGATGGAAACTCACTTGGTTCATCTGAAAGACCACGAAGCTTTGCATATATGGCGTACCTACGCGCTGCTTCCTGCACAGAAGAGATCGCTTGAAGTGTGCTGGCCACCATGTCGAGAAGGCCTGTGCGATTCTCCTCCTCCTTGAAGGCATTCATCCTGATACAAGAAGAAAAATCGCTGTAAGCTAGGAATGTTCTAAGCATCACTTACCAATCGAGCAGAAGTATCTCGTCTCGCAGTCTTTCCAATGCAGCAGCACTCATTCGTGGTATTACGTCATACTGCTTGAAACTGTTCGAGATTATCTTTCCAGTTGACAAGCAAAGACAAAATACAAACCTGTAAAGCTAGCGTTGTCACGTAGCCTGCGCATTCTACAGCCAGACTTTTGGAGACACAGGGTGGTGTTGCAATACCAATGGCCGCAACTTGTTCCGGAGGAATACCAAGAAGTTCCACCGATCGTTTGTGTAGCATCATCGCAAGCAAAGATGCTGTGGCACCCCCCAAAGAGTGGCCAACAATACGAAGTCCATACCCCTTTAAAACCACGAAAGAAGTTACTTCACAAAAACATGAAAAGCACAAGAACAAAGATAGGCTCACCATGTTTTCTTGCAAACATTTCCTTAAAGTTTGCACCTCGTTGTGAAAAAACCACCTTGCAGCTTGTGCTGTCCCAAAATGAGCATTGCCCTCGTTGAAAATTTCTTCCTCGCCGTGTGATGCCAAGTCCGTGATGAGATCATGAATCGACTGAGTCCCGCGGATTCCCAGGATCACAGTTTGCGCCCTATGATCCAACCCGATGTAATACGCAGGTCGCATCACGCTGGCCTTATCCACAAACTTAACGACGTTGCTCTCCTTGAGCATGGAAATCCGTGCGAGCGCTGCCTCGTTTTTCAAGTAGGCTCCTTTGGCAAGCTCCACGTAGTAGATAAAATCTTCCACCTTGTGATCAATCAAGAAGGCTTGTTAAAACTTTTCTCCTCCAAGAAAGAAACGAAGAACTCACCAGGACATCGGATTTAACTTGGACTCCTTCGACCACGTCCACAGCGCCTTCGGCAGCATGGTGAAGAGAAAGGAGATACAAGCCGAGCGTTAAATCTCCTAGTCCCCACTGCTGCATGCCATAGTTACTTCTGTGAAGACAAGCAGCGATGTCTACGAGCGAGCGAGTGCTTGGAGGACCAGCGTTTCCTTCAGACTTTCCTTCACACATCCACGCAAACGAGAAAATAACTCAGCTCCATCTCTCTTTTGGTTCATTCAAGCAAAACTCTAGAAAGCAAAGAGAAGAAGATATCTCTCACCTGGTGGCAATGCCTTGTGATAGAGATTCAATGCCGGCTCGAGAATTCCACTAAGCCAAGCCAGCTGCTGCCCCCATCGCTTCTTTTCCCTCGCTGCATTGTTGCTGCCCTCCTCGGAGTCGCTCAGCTCTTCGGGGCGCCCTCGCATCGCCGGGTGCACGGCCGATTGCGAGGCATCGGGCTTGCTACTGTTGCTAGGGCCGCTACTGCTGTGTGGATCACCTGATGAGATAGATCGCCTCCTCCAGGCGTGGATCACGCCCCAGCTTCGCCGCGATGGCAGAGCCTTCATAATTTAGGGCTCTCGCGCTTTTTAGGGCAGAAGAAGCCAAGTCAGCTTTTAGGGCATTTTCGAGATATTTTATTCAGTCATCGTTGACTAGCGCAAGTCAACAATTACGCCTGCCACGTATCTGCCACGTCTGATTCCCACGTTTTTCTCTTGTGGTGATAATGGCGTTGCTCGTCGAGCGACCGAGCGCCTTCTGGATCGAGGTGCGCTCCCAGGCATGGATCGCGCTCCCCATGGTCGGCGTCACGCTCCTCCAATTCGCCGTCACGACCGTGGCGATCATGTTCGTGGGGCATCTCGGAGAGCTGGAGCTTGCGAGCGCCGCGATCGCTGGATCGCTGGCCAATGTCACGGGCTACAGCATCCTGGTGAGTGAAATCTTGCGAGAAAGATCGATTGGGGACTGATTCTTGGTGATATTTCGATCGATTTCTCTTCGGCAGCTGGGGCTGGGGAGCGCTCTCGAGACTCTTTGCGGCCAGGCCTATGGCGCCAAGCTCTACACGCGCCTTGGGGTCTACTTGCAAAGGGCCGTCTTCGTCGAGTTCCTTGCCGCCATTCCAATCGCGATTGTGTGGTTCTTCATGGAGCACGTCCTCTTGTTCTTTGGCCAAGACCCTGAGATCTCCAAAAACGCCGGGGTTTTCGCGAGATACTTGCTGCCGGAGCTCTTCGCGTTCGTGCTGCTCCAGCCGCTGGACAAGTTCCTCCAGTCGCAAAGCCAGGTCTACGTGATGCTCGGGGCCTCGTTCATGAATTTGCTGCTCAACGCTTTGTTCTGCTGGGTGTCGATCTACAAGCTGGGGATGGGAATCAAAGGGGCGGCATTGTCGGCGAGCCTGGCGAGCTGGATCAACGTATCAGTTCTTTCCACGGTGGTGGCGTGCACACCCGCTTGTAGGCGTTGCTGGGGTGGACTCTCGATGGAAATGTTTCGAGACCTCAAACAGTTCATGGCTCTCGCCATTCCTTCTTTGCTCATGCTCTGGTAAGTTTTTGCTTGGTTTATTTTCCAGCTTTGTCAATGCGTGCATCGTTTATTGGATTCTTCCTTGCAGTTTGGAATGGTGGTCACTTGAGGCTCTTGTTTTACTCTCAGGGCTGCTGCCAGATCCTCAGCTCGAGACCTCGACCTTCACAATTGTGTGAGTGGCTGCTCTTTTCACTTTTTCCTCAATGGATAAACTTTCGTTTTCTTATTTTCTACTCCAGATTGAACACGATCCAAATTTTCTTCATGATCGCTTATGGCTTGAGTACTGCTGCAAGGTAAGTCGCATCTTGATTTTGTTTCACAGTGGAGTCAAATTTCGATTTTTATTCTAGTGTCCGTATAAGCAATGCGCTAGGAGCTGGAGAGGCGAATGCAGCGAAGCTGGCATTCAAAACATCCATATTCTTTGCAGCCATTGACGCTGTAATCGTGAGTACTACTCTGTTCCTGGCCAGGCACAAGCTGGGGCACTTGTTCAGCAACGAAGCCGAGGTTGTGAGCTCCGTTTCTAAGCTGATGCCGTTCGTGGTTACAATCAGTATTGTGGATGCGTTCCAAGGGGTTGTCTCAGGTTTGAAAATGGAAATGGCATACGGTGACATGGTTTAAGATTTTTCTGTCTGCTGTGAACAGGTGTTGCTCGCGGATGTGGATGGCAAGCTTTTGCCGCGTTTGCCAACCTTGGCTCTTATTACGCTGTTGGATTGCCCGTGGCTTACGTGCTGGCCTTCGTTCTACACATGAACGGAAAGGTGGGCCGAAAAGACACTGAGTTTCCTTGTCTGACTCACGTGATTTTTTCACTTTCAGGGCCTGATCATTGGGATTTTGTGTGGCCTTTCGACGCAAGCGATCTCACTGCTCACTATTGCTGTAAGAACCAACTGGACCAAGCAGGTATGCCACCATTAGTTTTTAATCGCGGGTCATGTTTTTTATGTTTCGTATTTCTTTCATGCAGGCACAAAAGGCTTCGGAGCGAATGCAACTGATCACACCGTTACTGAGTTGATACTGCGTGCAACACTGTTACCTGCATTTTTACTCCCGCAGGGAAGAAAGAAATTCAATAGTTAGTTCTTCAAATATCTATCTGGATTGGTCTTTTATAGCTAACGTGCTTGTTTTGGTGATCTCACTATGTCTGCAAAGTCGAGATGAGGAGGAGAAAAATCATCACACCCAGGTAAATTTCCTTTATATGTAACTTATAATCTTTCAATCTTGACTTTGCAGT